ACGGTTCATATTAATATATATATATATATATAGATAGATATATATACACTATCCTACCAAAAGTCATGGGACACGGTGTCATGATATAAAAGGCTGTTTAGTTTAGAGATTATTAATTAACTTATTTTTGTGAGTGAATATTTTATTATTGTTTGGTGTTTGTTATAATAAGAGTTAAAAGCGGACAGATATAAGCAAAGGAGAGTAAAGTTACAGGCCAAAGAAAAGTTCGGCGTGAAGTTAACTACCGTAGAAGTGATAGGCCTAACGTTTAACATGTTAAAGTAAGACTAACTATAGAAAAGGAGATAAGAAGAAGAATTTATTCCGTCAAAGCGTGGTTTAAAGTAATTGAATCAGCTGAGTGCACTTTGACAAAATGAACAGAGGATATTTCGAAGAAAGAAGACCAAACGATTACGGTAACTCGCGCCACAATTGTAAGTAAATCACACACAGAATACTAGTAATAGTCTGTTTGTTTGTTTTGAATTTCGCGCAAAGTTACACGAGGGCTATCTGCACTAGTCATCCCTAATTTAGCAGTGTAAGACTAGAGGGAAAGCAGCTAGTCATCACCACCCATCGCCAACTCTTCGTCTACTCTTTTACTAACGAATAGTGGGATTGGCTGTCACATTATAACGCCCCCACAGCTGAAAGAGCGAGCATGTTTGATGTAACGGGGATTCGAACCTGCGACCCTCAGATTTAGAGTCGAGTGCTCTAACCACCTGGCCATGCCGGGCCCGATTAGTAATAGAGAAGAGAGTTCGGCTTGTCAACTGAAATTCTAAAGTAACTGAATAAACCTAAGTGGCCTTTTGACAAGAAGAAGATCACTATGCATATAATGCTTATGATATGCCTGTAATCTCTATAGTGTGAAGACTTTGTTATACATACGTTTAACTTGTTCTGAATATGTGTTTTATTTTGAAAACTACTGAAGTTATGCTGTTCATTTATCTTTGAATTTATCGCTAACAAGTGACAGACACCTACTGTAGAAGAATCCTAAGCCCAACAACAA